CTCTGTAATTAACATGTCATTGCGTCAAATTCGGGATTCTTATTTTCATTTAACATATTTTAGTTTTCCACTTTTATTTTTTTATTTATTATTATCTTATAAATGATTTGATTTTTTTTGGATTTTTTTTCTTCAATTTTTTTTTTCTGTGATCCGGTCCGTGATCCGATCCGTGATCCGGTCCGGTCCGGTCCGGTCCGATCCTGGTTTTGTCGACGCCACCTTTTTGAGCGCGAAAAACTTACGTTGGATGTGGAGTATTGCACTTGCCCTTTCGGTGACTTCCAAACACCCTTTTCCTGACATTTTTCATTTAACGTCTTCCACATTCTGTAGTATTTCCTCGCTAGGGAGAGAAACCTTTCGGATTTTTGTTTCTCTGCGTCTATAAGCTCCCGCATATCGACTTGCACTTTATCGATATGTTCTTGCCTGCCCATCAGCAATTTCGCGAGTTTCGCTTCTCTCTTCCTGGCGACTCGTCTCTTTCTTACTTCCTTTCGTTTTTGATTTTTAGTTTTTGCTTTCTCCTTCTGTTCCTCTGTTTTTGAAGCGGTTAAATCTCGTTGAGCAGCTACAAGCCATTTGGGTACCTCAGCCGACATTTTGTTTTGATATTTTGGCGCCAAAACATTCTTTGTTCGCGGGAAGGTCTGGTAACAAGTTTTTCCATTCAACTAAACATTCCGGTGTCACAGTGATTTCGGTATCCCTGTGTTTTGGGTACCCCCGTACCCAAATCCCTTGTGTTTTGGGTACCCAAAAGACTGAGAACGTAAAACTGATGCAAGTGAAATCATCCACAATTGTGCTCAAAACCCATTTATCTTTTACAAAGCTTTGTCTCAATAAATTAAAGCATTCTTTTGCTTGATATAATGCATCAGTCAATTCCAGCAGTGCCCATCCCCCCCCCCCAACCCGGGCTAACCCCTGGGCATAAGCATTTTTTTAAAAAATGGGCAAGTTCCCTGGGGTGGGGACACATAAGCTGTCTAAATACCCCAGGGTGGGGATGAAAAAAGAGGGCAAATGCCCCGCCCCTGGGATCATCGCCTTCCAACACTTCTGCAGTTTTTTATTAATCAGTGAATAAAACGTTCAACTGTTCAGTCTTTTATTAAATGCAACGGTAAGACTTCAAGGACAACAGTATGTGTTAGTTGATTTTGATTATATTTATTTCTTTATATTTTGTTTTTAACAGTTTTCAAGATCTGTCTTGAAGATCGCATCATTTGAATTCGCAAACCACCTTCATGAATTTAAAAAATGCTAGACTAGTTTTGAATGCGAAATGCGAAATAGTCATGTTCACATCAGTGATTGTCTTGTGATAAACAAAATATAGCTCACCTTGTCACTTATATTTATATGCTTACAAGTAATTAAGAAATACCTAAAATTTAGAAAACATACCTTTAAAAACATCTACAAGTTTCTCTAGTCCCTGACGGACAAGCCATAGTTCGACAAACACCTTGTCTTTCCCGATGAACTCATCCATGGCACTTTCGANGGGGGGGGGGGGGGGGGGCGGGGGAATGGGCACTGCTGGAATTGACTGATGCATAAACACAATACGTCTCTTAAAATAGTCGCAATTCCTAACAGACTGTCTTATCTGAGTCCGCAGTTATAACGACATACAAAAGTGGATTCACACGCTAAAGATCCTTGTACAAACATGCACTTGGTGCCTATCGATAACCTTTGAAATGCATGTTATTTTATGTGAGAAAGACGCTTTTGAAACCTCGGATAGTGCAGTGATTGAATTTAGTCAATATGCGAACGAACACACTGAGATGCGGCCGTCACGCAATACACAAGCTGTGATTGACCTGTGTATGTTGCCAGTCAGAAATAAACTTTGTCTTAGACTTGTGTGTCGCTCTTTCCTTGACCATCCCTCCTAGTAGATTTTGCCGGCGAACAATTCTCTTTGCCATTAAAGTAGATAAGGCTAATCTTTGGACATAGGGAAACAAATAGAAGTAGGTTACCCAAATCCCTAGTGATATGGGTATCCCCTTCCAGAGAGTTTGTTTGTCCTTGTTTCTTTAATTCAGGGTTGCCAAATGGACCGAAGGTTAAAAGGAAAAGCAAACTTACAAAGACGAAAGTTATTTCAACGAGGAAAGGACTAGAAATGCCAAAATGTTGGGGATACCCAAATCCTTAGTGATATGGGTATTCCCTTCCAATATGTTTGGTTGTGATGGTTTCTTTAATTCAGGGTAGCCAACTCGACCAAAGATTAAAGAGAAAACAAACTTACAAAGATGAAACTTATTCCAATGAAGAAAGGACTAGAAACAGCTGTAGAAATGCCAAAATGTCGGGGATACCCAAATCCCTCGTGATGTGGGTATTCCCTTCCAATATGTTTGGTTGTTATCATTTCTTTAGTTCAATGTAGCCAAATCGACCGAAGGTAAAAAGGTTTGCTTTGCCTTTTAATCCTCAGTCAATTTCGCTACCTTGAACTAAAGAAACGATAACAAACAAACACTCAGAAGGGGATACTCATATCACTAGGGATTTGGGTATCCCTAACATTTTAGCATTTCTAAGTCCTTTTCTCAATGGAATGACTTTAGTCTTTGTAAGCTAGCTTTGCCTTCTTATCTTCGGTCGATTTGGCTACCCTGAATTAAAGAAACGATAACAAGCGAGCATATCGGAAAGGGATACCCATATCACTAGGGATTTGGGTATCCCACTTTCCCAGTGTTCAAAGATCAAAGGACTTAGCTTGTCTACTTTATTTGCATTTTTTATACATGTCTCCGAAGAAAAACTGCTTTAATGGCAAAATCTAATAGGAGGGATGGTCAAGAAAAGAGTGACAAATAACTAAGTCTAAGACAAAGTTTATTTCAGACAGGTAACCGTACACAGAGGTCTGTCAGCTGTTAGCTTGAGACCTGCGTATTGCATGACAGCCGTATCTCAGTGTGTTCGCTTGTATATTGATTTTATTCAATTGCTGAACTATCCGAGGTTTAGAATGCGGCTTACTTGTTTAAAATGACGTGCATTTCAAGGGTTATCGATAGGCACCAAGCCCATGTTCATACAAGGAACTTTGGCGCGTGAATGTGTTTTGTGTGTCGTTATAACTGCGGACTCGGATCACACAGTCTGTTATAAATTGCGACTATTTTCAGCAACTTTATGTGCTTATATCAAGATTAAGAAAGTTTTAATTTATTCAGTCAAAACTTAGTAAGAAGATAAAGGGTTTTTCAGCTGAATTATGGATGATTTCACTTGCCCCAGTCTGTGGTATATAATGCTTTCAGTGTTTTGGGTACCCAAAACACTAGGGATATGGGTTCGGAGGTACCCAAAACACGGTGATACCCAAATCACTGTGACACTGGTTTGCATTTCCGGAAATTTCCAGTGGCGACTGGAACAGCATTTTCAGGATTCCCAGAAAAAAGAACAATAGGCCAATTCCGATATATTAAAATTCTAACTTGGTTCCGAGGTTTAGGGGAATAAAACAAAACAAATTAATTATTCATCCCTCATCCTTGATGCAATTCCTTTTGTTTTATCCCCTTAAGCCTCAGAGCCGAGTTAGAATTTTAATATATTGGAATTGGCCTATTAACCTTGCAAGGTATACCAAACTTATCGGAAATTTCATTTCCCATATGATTTTTTCTTCCCAGAATTTGAGGTTGAATGGTTCGTTTTTCAGAAATTCATCAATTTCCAGATTTTCCAGAAACTTTCCTTACCATTTGTCCCTGTTTCGAAATTTTTGGAATTTTTGGTTGAATAGAAAATGCCCCTCAGATGACATATGGTAAATCTACTATCAATTTGGAGTGACTTAAGTCATTCATGTTTTATTATCAATGTCATCAGGACATTTTTTTAACAAATATTTTGGATAAATGATTTCAAAATGTATTGATAACTTAAAATTTGTAGCAAGAATTTGTGTTTATCACTCCCAGCCATATACATGTAGCTCAATACATTTATAGTTTGCTTGAAGCCAAAATTTGATTCTAAATTAGAGGACTAAACATTTTTATTGCAAAATGAGTAGATATGTATGCCACATCAACAAACTTATAGCTTCAAGAAATTGTGTCTGTTCATCATCATTAAATTCTGCTTGTTTGCTGCTAGATTTGACTTTGTATTCATCATGTATGACCAAAAGCTATTACATTTTTAATACACTGAAGTGTCCTGGATGACTACCAAGAGTATTAAACGAGTATCTTCTTCACTCAGTGTAAAAAACAGACTATGGATTGCGGGCTTCAGACTAGGGGTAAAATGCAGACTGAAGGTAAAATGCAGACTGCAGGTGCATACCTTGTAAATATATTGTGTTATTTCCATTATCACGTGCTCACTGTAAACAGGGTTCTTCAGGCTAATCACATTGAGTCTGCACTCCATTTAGCTTGAATATCACTCAGGTTGGACTGACTATCACTCCAGTTAGCCTGAATATCACACTGGTTAGCCTGAATAATGTCCCAGTTAGCCTGCTTACAGTTGGCTCTCAATGATGGAAATGGTAACACTATTCAGTTAAAAAGTCTACAGTCTGCATTTTACCCCTGGTCTGCAGTCTGTATTTTATCCCCAGTCCACAGTCTGCAGTCCCCACTGCGATCAATGCGATCAAGAAAAAAAGAGAGATTGCATGGAGAGATTGGTTACCCCACTGAGGAGGGGTACCTCATCTTCCTGGGATCCCCCACTTCAATGTGAACAGGCCCTAAAGGTGTTTGTAGCAGGTCAAACTGTTGCTATGGTAACCTACTGTGCCACGAAAATAACGTGTTCACAAGATGATTGGGCAGTTTTCTGATACCATGATTTTAGTATTAACTGATGACGAGAAGTTATAATGACCCATCCATAATCTATGTTCAGTTTGTATCTCCTTTTGTCTGGTATGTATGCACTTATATTACGTCAGACACTGATTAAATGCGGAATAACGAAAAGTTTCTTACATTGCATTTGTAGCCTTCTCCTCGTAACTTCGCAGTGCTGTTTTGTTGTTCATTTAACAGCTTCCACATTCCGTAGTATTTCCTCGCCAGAGAGAGATACCTTTCTGCGTTTTTCTTTTCAGCTTCAACAAGTTCCTGCATATCAGCTTGCGTCTTTGACACCTCTTCATTGATTTTGTTCTCAACTGCCATTAACTGCCTTTGTTGTTTCGCCGCTCTTCTGCTAGTAATATTCTGCTTCCTTATTACTCTCTTTGCTAGCTTTCGCTTCCTAGCATCATCAAGTTCCTGCATAGTTGGTTCCGCTTTCGAAGCCATTTCATGAACTTTGTCTTCAATCGCTTTTTGCTTCTTCTCGCGTCTCGCTTCCCTCCTTCTTGCATTCCGTCTTTTCCTTTGTTCACTCCTCGTTTCAGTGTTCTCAGCAGGAATCATCGCTTCTTCTTTCTGGATCGTCTTAGTGCGAACATTTGGTTGACTAGCAGTTCTTCCTGGGGTTTGAATTGTTATTAAAGGTGTCGAAGGAGTAGAAAGAGTAGGTGTAAGAGTAGACCAATGCAGCCAAGTGTACGCCATCTTTGTTTTCGATCTTCCCGCCAAAGGTTATTGAAAGGCACATGAAAGTGAGGCAGGTTCACCGAACCCAGTCTTCCGTCCGCGCAAACTCTGGAAATTCTGATCTGGTGCAAAATAGAATGGAACGGACATTTTCGAAAAGTTGGTTTCTTGAAAAAAAGTTTACAACCAAGCATCCCCGTTCCGAACTTTTCCTCTGTGGACAAAGTGGCTTAGGTAGTCCATCTGACAAGCATGGGCGTTCGAATCCACACAATGCTTCTCGATCAGTTAATGAAATTCTTTCAATATATTACTACGACGACCAGACCTGACTGCCAGCAGTGTGAAACCCGATAAAAGTACCATTACTGAGAAGAAATTGTTCAGACAGCTCTCGCCTAGCTCCAAACCCCTACATCTTCCTCCTAAATGCATCAACCCCTATTATTTTCGCGAGGTTCTTCAAATCACATATTATTGATTTTGTATACAGTCTTGCAGTCTTAAGTTGATTCCTCTTTGTCTTATATGACGTCACAGCTTTGAAAATCAAAAACTGGAGCACGCGGTACAAATTGTTTAATTACTGGCGAGGAAATTAATAGCAGACACAATAACTAGAACCGATTTCAAGTTCAGATTTACGTACGACTGACTTTGGGATGAGGAAACTTTTTCTGCAGGCTAGTTTTGCTTTTTTTTCCCCCTTTGATATTAACTTACGCAAATGCGCTTTTTTTTTTAGAGATCTAGCAGTAAACGTTGTACTCAATTTGGCGATCTCCGTTAACTTAAAATTTAAGTTCATTTGCTTTTCTATTTTTCTGGCTTCTGGTTCCTTTGTATGCACTACTTTACTGAGCAGCGCTAATTTACCATGTTTTCAGTAACTCAGTAGTCTGGACACATCTTTTGTTCAGATATGAGTACTCACGTCCGCCGAAGACGGTAACTTTTAACAAATATCGTGTGTTTTTCAAGTCATATCCGGCTACATGATGAAATATCGTTGTTTATTTGAAATGGTCGGTTCCTTCGCGAAAAGTTCAAAGAACTAAAATATCAGAAATAATTCCAATTTGCCAACTTATTTCAACAACAGTGAGTAATTTCAATCGAACTGTCAAGCTTCCTTTTGGCCTGCATTGACCGAATTCAACAGCTTCCATTAACGCTAAGTGGCTCTTTTGTCGGCGAAAGTTTAGAGGAGTCACCTTGCATCCGGAGTGGGGAATATTTAACCAGTTCACTTCGCAGTGTTGTGATCACTTGCGCACAAAATTTCACAGCACTTGGAGAGATATTGTTTCCAAAAAGAAGTAAGTGTGTTTTACTTATCTGTCTCTACGTTAAGCGTGAACCTAAAATCTGCGTTATTTAACTTTGTCGCGGATAGCCGTGAAAAAAAAAGGAACAAAACAAAGCAAAACGAAACAAAAGGAAAATAGCTCTGCAAACGGCAACTGCAGTTTAATAATTGAGATCTTAAAACCAAGGTGTGGTATCCAAACCGTACAATCAACAAATAGATTTGTATTAAAAAAAAAAAAATCGGACAATTTCTCAGTGAATTCATTCGCTTAACATTTCATTTTAACTTTGTTTGCAGAGATTTGTTTGACATGCCCTGCTTAGTTAACTGGCAGATTAGGATAGTTTCTCAAGTAAAAGACGAATTAAGCTTCGGCGGAGTTTTGTCCAGGGCCAAATAATTGCATTATCTTGACTGCACTAGGAATTTACTGGCACGAAGCCGCTAGCACGTAGCCTCCTCCAGGCGTTCAGTTAGTTGGTGGCAGCGTGAAAAACGGCGACTAAAAATGTAAGGGAGAAGAGCTTATTTTTTCTGTCCCCTATTTTTTCGCTCGCCGTTTTTTGCACTACACCCCAACTAACTCTGAACGCCTGAAAGAGGTTACCAGCATGATTCTGGACGATCAACAAAGACTATCTAAATCGCTGTTTCTGTATCCAGTGTTACTGAAATCGTTTTTAATCTTACATATAACTAATTGTCAGTTTACATTTTTGTAATTTATCAATTCTTGCAGTTTTCTGATTTTTTTTTTAGATAGCACTTGTTTCTTTTTCGTGCTCTCGGAAGCGAGTTTTTCTCAAGCTGCACACATCTTACAACAATCACCCAACGTTTTTATGACTGTTATTGAATTACGGTGCAAGTAATGTAATCAAATATAAATATATAAATAACCATTTGTCGCACTTGAAACGTTTATGTTGACATGGAAAAGTAAATAACTCTTAATGCCTCAAATTGATAGGATTAAATGCCGTTCTTGTAACTTCAGATCGGTCTTTTGTGAACTTGCACAAACGAAGAATTGACCGAATCCGCCTCCCACTTCGTATCTCCCTGAAAATTTAAAGAGTAACATTTAAAATAAAGTTTAGAGGGTATAATATTAAGTCAAAAATGTTATGTTATCCAAATAGCCGCCATCTGCATTACGGTATTGTGATGTCAGGTGATCTTCGGTAATTTACTGTAGACTATCTGAAATAGTTGGACTCTATATGACATCAGTCAAAAATCGTCGTAGGACCTTGAGTTGAGATGCTTTCAGCAACTGTCAGCCTTCGGGTCGCCTTCGGAAATATTCGGAGCTACTCTGAAATGTTCGTACATCCTCGGGAAATCTCCGGAAATGCATTCTTCCAAACCAAATACCCAATTCGATAATTATACCCTCTTATTAAGAAAATAACTGTAGCAAATTTATTCCCTATACTTACTCTATGAAGCTTTTCTTCTAGGTGTCAATCCTGTCTCACGTTACCATGGTGCAGCATGTTTTGATATTTCTTGTTCTTGTTGTACTTGTGCATGCAACCGAGGCTCGCCCGAGGCTCAACCTTGGAGAAGCTTTCAAGTTTATCAAAGAGTCTGAAATTCCTGTTGCCGATGCTAAAAGCTTGGAGGTGTCCAGGTAACATGACAGCTTCGGTGGTATTCCGAGTTTGGCTCAACGCGTCAAAAAAAATTTGGGTGTCCACTAAGTAACAGCGTTTCTTCTTACAAAAAAAAAAAAAGACTGGACTTAGTTACAACATTGCCCAGTTGCCCTCATAAAGTAACAATGGAACGTTTCAAGTCAGTAATCAACTTAACCCAGCCCGTCATTAGGTGTTCTCGTTCTCTTGAAGCCGAGCGTAAAATACACATAAGGACCTGGGGACGGGTTGTGTGTCCGCACCACCTTCTCTCCGCAAGTTGCTCGACTGCCTCGACAGTTCTCATGCAGAAATTTCTCGAATTTGATTCCCTTATTTTACCTCGGAAATTCCTGGTAAATGTTCAGAAAATCTAAAGACGAAAACACTAAAAGCTCTTCTCCAGTCCAATTTCTTCTAGTATTGGGTAGAAATTTCTCAGCATGCAAAGAGGTCCTCAAAATGTGAAAAAAAAAAGTTACCGAGAAACCCGCGGGCAGCCATAGTTGGTGGTGTCAAAAAATTTGGCGCCGAATTGAGAGGGGAGGAAGAGAGTGCCTGGGTACTAGATCGGATTGTTTCCATTGTATCCCTGGTAATCGGTTCCTATTACTGTATTTTCTTTGAAGTCTAAATGAAAGTCACGACGAAGGACCAAACAAAGGCGGGAATTTGAGGCGTGATTTTCGGCTTTGTCGATTCCTCCCAATATGTTCGAGTGGCTAGCAAGCTCAAGGACTAGCAGCGATTACGGTAATAGCATAACTCAACTGTTTATATAGGGCGGTTTTCTCAAACTAAGACCAAGTGATAAATCTTAACGATCACAATGACAGAGAAAATCCAGTGAACCAATCAAAACTGGAAGCGCTGGAAATACTTTTTTCTCACTGATTGGATGACAAAGTGGCGTCAGTTTTTTTCAAGCCATTCGCCAGGCGTAGTAATGCAAAACTCGAGTGATTTTTTGGGGAGCGTTTTTCTTTCTATCTCATTTTATCTTCCTATACTTTTGGGGGCGTTTTTAATAAAACAACTATTCCACTCTCACTCATGGATATGAAATGATAGTACTCGGTGCTACGCGCCTCGCTGGCTATCTACCGTCTCATATCCAAGGCACTCGCTTCGGCTGAAGAACAGCGGAGTTCGTTAGCGCAGGATGTAAAATATACCAAGATATTCTTGATTCAGTATTTTACTGTTCTAGGGGAACAATTAATGACGTCATCACTTTCCTCATTTGCATAATACAAAAACGTAAATATCTCTAAAATGAAAGAAGATATTCCAAAAAGGAAAAAGCCATTCTTCTTTATTTTGAAAAGTCTTTTAAAGAAGCAGCAATTATTTTTTACTTCATAGGCACTTTAAGTTGTAATGGATTACTCGGGGTTTGGGGTTGGGATTAACACATTGTTAAAGGATATCTTTAGGGGTAAAAAACTGATAGCAGAATATTAATTCAACATGCCGCAAAATACAGGAAAATTAAAAGCTAAGTCCTGAATAGGAGGGGTCAGGCGCACAGATTTTAAATGTGATGGTCTATTAGAGTTTTGCTGCAGACAACTTTACATAGGAACAAAGCAATAAAGTTGTACAAGAGAAAATGAGGTGGTATCATGCCATGCGTTCATGTAAATGTTGAATCTACCCCCTTGTGTTGCAAAAATCAACTCACCATCTTAAATTTAGCATTTGTTTATTATCGCGTTTTGAACTGAATATTTTAAGGCTGAATATTTGTGCCGTTTATAAGGAATTTGGCTTTTAAACAAAACTAGGATCTACTAATGTTTTTCTTTTTACTTTGTTTTAATTTCAGACTGTACGACGGCCCATGACGCACAGTTCAAGATGTAGAGTATTGTCATAAAGTGCTGTTAACATTTACAAGTATAATTGCATATTAGTTAAAAAATTGTAATAAAATCAAAAAGGAAACACCCAGAAATTTGTTATGTTGTCAACTCTTCCTCAGAGCAGTTGCTGACCAAAACTGCAGTGGAGAAATTATAGGGGAAAAAAAAAAAACAGCAAAAGGTGAAATTCCTTGATTTGTTCCGTTCAGTACAAATGATCCTTTTCTAGTATTTTACGTTCCCTCACCAGGTTCCAAGCGCGTCACCATAAAATTTTGACTGGCATCCGCGTTTCTCATACCCCTTCACGCGCCTTTACTCGTGTGGCATTACGGTTGTTTCTCCTGTTCGTTTTTGAGCTTTTTCAAAATCTTTACCTGGCTTTGTGCGTTCCTACGCGACTTGTCTTTGCCTTGCATTAAAATTTTAGCTGCCATGACGTGTTTTCACTCCTTAAGACTCCTCGTGGATTCGTTGTGGCTTTTATCCCATGCCGTTCCACTGCCCAACTGTAGTGTTTTTTCTCCTGTACCTTTTTCGGACATTTCCAGACCGAATTAACCTTTTTCAGGTTTGAGTTCCCGCCACAGTTCCCATTATGTTTCGGGTTCTAACATCCCTCGCAGTTGTCCTCTTGGAATGGGAACGTTCGCTGAACAGGTTTAATTAGAAGATAAACAAACGTAGAGGGAGTGAAAGGTAAGCTAAAACGTCATCAATTTAATTGATGCAACGTGTAGGAAAACAAACTTTTATTAATACTAGGAAATGCAACCGCTGACCGTGCTAAAAGTTACCGTAAATCCTCGAATTAGCGCCCCCCTCGAATAAGCGCCCACTTATCATGTCAGGCCACGATTTGAGAAAAATTAAATAAGCACCCCCCTCGAATAAGCGCCCCTGTCTTCTCCTAAATTTGAAATAAGCGCCCTAGGCGCTAATTTGAGGATTTACGGTAATCCACAACCAAATCTTACAATATGACCTAGAACTGGTAAAATATTTCTGTATAGGAAATGCAACTTTACTATTTATTTGCAGTGTATTGATCTTTCTTACAATGTTGAGTTGGTTTTTGTCATGTAAAGAGTTAAGAAAGTCAGACTATGCTGATAAATTACAAACATGGTTCTCTACTTTGTGATTGGTTGAGTTTAGAAATTTCAGCAGTCGAGAATTAAACTATTAACAAAATACTACATGATGAATTCCAGAGCTACTTAGAGCAAGAGCCAGTATCTTGATAAATGGACTGCCCTTCTGAAAAACTCCCTTTCTGCTGTCATTGATCATCACAACTTCCAGCCAGACTTACAACGAAACAACACCATAGAACAGATTATTTTTCAAGGGGAGCATAATTTAACAGTTTTTCAATCAAGTCCACATGTGATAGAAGCATTCTTCGACAGCAGTATCTCTTCAACCCCAAGGCATCAAGGGCATCTCTAAAAAGAATAATTATTAAAGTACCATTAGATAAACCTACATTACACTCTGTTACAGATTTTCTATAATCTACATTTAAAACTTCAGCCAAGTGGTTTAAGTCCCAAACAGGACCCAAAAAGCCTGTTCCTTTAACTTTAGATTGCCTTGTTAGAGCTATATCAACACCACAAACAGAATCTCATTTACACTTTTAAACTCCTTGGCGCTAAGAAACGGGATGGCAGCAATTGAGGATCACCTGATTGAGTCTAGAGGCCAGCACTGGTAAGAGCACTATACTTTATTCGCTACGTGATCCAGCATGGTGGACTACAACAACGTGCTCTCAATAATCATACAGGAAACCGCTGACCAACATCTCCCCCCTTTGATAAAAAGAAAAAGAAAGAAATCGGTGGGGTTCCCTTAAGTCAGCTAACATGTCTTCAACATAATGCTGCACTCTAAACGTGCTCTCATCAATCATACGGGAAACCACTGATCAACAATTGAGGGTCTGTTACATAGGTCTATTGCCGGTTTTCATGTGAGATCTTCCAAAATTAAAAATAACAATTCCTTCAGAAGTTTTAGTTTCATCAGATAGAAGACCCTCTAAGAACTTGCGGTTTACAATGTTTAAGCTCAACAGGGTTCCATATTAAATTTTGTTATAGAGGACATTTGAATTTCCAAGTTTTTTCGTTCCGTGACATTAAAATGGCGGCCCGAGAGGGCTTTTCCATAGGTCAAAAGAGGAGTTATCATTCAAGTTTTTGCTAACTGAACAGTTCTTGCAGTAGAAGAATTATTACTTTCAATGTGTCGGAACTAGATAGAGTAATATTATAATATTTCATTTCAGTAGTAAAATTCAATGACAGATGTTTCCATTACTTTGAAGCCCCCATGTTGGTGCTGCTCAGAAGGGCACCAACATGGCATCTCCATACAAAGCTCTATAAATTTGGGTGAAACACTTTTCCAAATCACGCATTAATGAAAAGCTGCACAGATCTAAATCTTGGTTTTTTAGGTATCAATCATCTATCATATCCCAGATTCTTGACTTAATTTATTCAATGGTTACGATATTTATTTTTGATCGAGTGACAGTGCAAACCAGCAATTATAGGGGGTCATACATTCTGCAAACCACCATATTTTGCTCCCTTGAAACCACAGACTGCTTTCATTTTCTCCTAAAAAACAAAACCTCCCTACTAGTAGGATGACTATCACAGCCAATCTTTTAACAGTTAGTAACAAATTCTCTACAATTTTTGTGATAGCTCAATCAGCAATTACACCATGTAAATCTAAAATTATCCTTTTAATTTACACCTTTTCACGTTCTGTTGTTACTATTTGTCTTAATTAGCATTTTTGCCTACTTATTATTCAACTTGCTTTGTAATCATTCATTCAACTGAAGATGACAGAAGTTCTGTCGAAACATGTCTTTTAAACTTAAAAAAGTGGTCGTTTTCCTTAAAATTTTTAAACTTAAAAAAGTGGTCGTTTTCCTTAAAATCTTTACATGTCTGCTGCTATCTAGACCTTT